TCAAACAGAGAAGCTATTAAAGATAAGATTTTTAAAATGATATTAATCAACCAGAGAAACTATTAAAAATAAGAATAAAAATAATACTAATTAACTATTAAAATAAAATAAGAAATATCAAAATAAAAAATAAAACATTAACTCCACTAACTGTCAATGGTATAAAGGCAGACATGGAGTATCCATACACAGTCAGCAGTTGAAATAAAGAATATCTACCATCAACTTTCCTCCAGACCATCAGCCCCCACAGACCCAATGGAAGGCATATTGTGTACACGTATATGCAAGTTAGGAGGACTATGACCTCATGGAAATGAAAGTCCCATTTAACACTGCCGCTACAAGACAATGAAGAATCATTGTTATTTTTATAATCACAATTATTATAATTATCAGCTCATTTTTATAATCGTGTATGTACATGTACATAAACTGTGAATTATAAATTAGAAAAATGCTAAAAATTTGTAGAGCAAAGCCTACATAAAAAGTTAAAATAGTGCATGCTATATTTTATGTAGCATAGAGACAAAAACTTTTAGATCTAGTTATCTCAAACATAAACTTTTAATTCTAAACACAGTTTCAATAAAATACATTAGCTCATGTATAATGTATACATTATAAATAAAATATAAATTAAATATAAACACAATAATTCATTACCTGAAGAACTTTGATATGTTTCCAGAGAGAGCAGTCGTGAGTACAAGAGTCATGCATATCCAGAAGGGACCATAAAGATCAGGATTAGAGGAGACTACTGATGCAAGATTGAATGGATATGGTACGATACCAGCAGCAATGCGATGTAACACCTAGCAATAATAATAATAATAATAATAATAATAATCATATAATATTAATAACAAAAATAATAAAGATATAAAAAAGAAGAATTCTCTCCTTTTCATTTATGGTGAAATTTGGCCAAAGACTCCTGTACTATTATACTAGTACAGGGACTTTGGCTTGATTTTTGAGTAACTTGAAAAAATTGTAAAAAATCCAAATTTGATCGGAATCAGCTCAAACTTTCTACACAACATAAGTACATGTATATGCATCAGAAAAGGTAATAAAAATAGAGAAATCTCTCCTTTTCATTTTTGGTGAAATTTGGTCAAAAACCCTGTACTATAGTACAGGGACTTTGGCCTGATTTTGGAGCAAACTAAAAAATTATAAAAAAATCCAAATTTGATCGGAATCAGCTCAAACTTTCTACACAACATAAGTACATGTATATGCATTAGAAAAGGTAATAAAAATAGAGAAATCTCTCCTTTTCATTTTTGGTGAAATTTGAGCCACGGCCATGTACTATAGTACAGGGACTTTGGCTTGATTTTGGAGCAAACTAAAAAATTGTAAAAAAATCCAAATTTGATAGGAATCAGCTCAAACTTTCTACACAACATAAGTACATGTATATGCATCAGAAAAGG